ATATATCCACACACACACATACATACATACATACATACACACAATATATATCCACACACACACATACATACATACATACATACACACAATATACACACACACACACACATACATACATACATACATACAATACAATGTAAGGAAGTCCCGACAGCATATGGCAGCACTTGGCTGATCTTAACTGATCTCAATAAAGCTAAACAAAATTGGACTTAGTTAGTAATAGGATGAAAGACCACTAGGAAATCTCAGGGCTGTAGGCTCTAGACTTCCCAGTGCAAAAAGCAATGCCAAACCAGTTCCATATTAATACCAGGAAGATGTATCTTCCTTTATGTTCCTGTCTGTATTCCAAGATCATTTTCAGACAGTCTTCTGTGGATGCCTTTCCATGCTGAGGTACAGTGAGCAGCTAACCAATAGCATCCCAACACTGGGCTGTCCTCCCCAGTGAGGTATGTGCTGCCAGCTTTGTCTTTCTGGTATGGGGTAAGAGCATGTTTATTCTCCCAGTCTTTTTAACAAAGCGTTACACTGCTCTGAATTTTTTTTTTTACTTTCTTACTGCTGATTTACCCTCTTTATTATTGTTTTAGTATTTCATTGTTGTATTTATATAGCTTCCATTACTTCAGATTTATAGAACATTTTAATGTAAATTTTCATCAATTGTTTTAATCTGTTTAGTTGCTTGAATTTATTGTAAATTGTTTCAAGATCTTTAATGGGAAGCAGGAGACAAATATTTGGATGTACCTATGAAGTCAGTAGAAAGCTCAAGTCAAGGAAAACTTTATGGAAATATATAAAACTAACAATCCAAACATGAAATAGCAGACTCTGGTGAACTATCACATACAGAACAAATTGCAAACAAAACAGAACTATGAACCAAGAGTCTGGTATTTCAAGGAAATACGATGGACCAATATACATGTGAACAGACAGCCATCATGTCCAAATATCTCTACTGTATTCTTGAAGATATCTATCTTTGTCCACCTTGACCAATGACCTACGCATATTGTTCCAGAGTCAAAGTTATTTGTGACAAAATACTGAACTATAAAAAAGGAAAACAAAACAGAACAGAACAATACAAATTGTTTGCTTTGAGGAAGGTTAAAATTAGACATCTAGTTGTTTTACTTTAGTCCTAGTTATTATAACACATATAATATATTATAATATAATAGTTATTTACAAGTAACAGCTTAATTTATCAGCCTTATCCGTTTTCATCAGAATTTCAGTGAAAACTGCCAAATGCTTATTTTTTCTAAAAAAAAAAAAAAGATTATGAAATAATAACTAGTAAAATGTACATTAAATGTACTAAAACATCATTTATACTTCTCATTCAGATTCATATAATTAGAACTTCATAGATGAAAACATTTCTTAAATGGTTTCTTTGTTTTGTTTTCCTGCCACAAAATTCAGGCATCTATTTCCTTTGGAGATTCAAAAACAGGAGCTGTTATTATGATAAAACTTTGTGAAACTGCTTGATGGTAAAAAATTGAAAGACTGTAACTTCTTCGCAAGCAAACCAGTTGCCTTCCAAAGAAATATCTAACTCTACTACTAATCTTTTTCTTTTGTCTTTTTTGTTAATTTACTAATTGCTCAAATGGGTAAATATAATTGATACATATCCTTACCTGGTCATCAAGAACAAATAAGTTATAAATCAAGACAGCTGTGCCAGGCATAAAGGTTATATTTCCCTTTACTGGACTCAAATCTTCTTTAGGGGAATTTGGACCACCTTCAACCTATGAAGAAAGCTGAAGCTATTTAATAAAAGTAGTGGGTGGTTTCATCAATTAACAATACAAATTGTTAATTTCATCAATTAACAAATCCAGAAAGCAAGATCTCCTCCAAAAAGTCTGGACAATCATTTTTGAAAGAAACCTGAGGATTACATCAATAACAGTTATTCAAAAAATTATGAAATGGTTCTTCCATTCCCAAATTTATGTACAAATAAAAGAGAGGAATTGACCTAAAAGAATTATTTCCTAATTATTGGACTGGGAGTAGTTAAAATATCCATATTTATCCACAAGGAAGTTTTGTACATTTTCAACTGTTGCTGTAGGACATATGTATAAAACAAAAATAAAAATGGCAACTCTTCCTCTGATATATTCATATAAGAATCAGGAGATGGATTTGGTATATGCAGGCAGTTTGAATTAGATACTGTACACCACAGGAACTCATACCAAACTCCAAATAAATTCAAAATACAACAAGGAAGAAGAATTTTAATTAATATGTATCCTTTTTTAGGATTTTATGATGCAGAAACAGCTTTTCCAAAAAGCTAATATACATTTGATGAAGATCTATCAAAAACTCTAATTATTTATGCTTTTGTAGGATAAAGAATTGAAAGCTAATTTGTGACATGATTTTACAACATTTGCCTAAAATCTCATGATTCTAAAATGCAACATGCCTACAGTTGAGAAGGACTTCTCCAAAAATCTACTTGCAGAAGAGGAGTTATTAGATTCTACATCTGGAAATGGCAAAATCTGACTCTGAACTGATCTACCAATTCTAAAAGCTGTTCACCTCCCAGGATCCCTGCTGGGCAAAAAAGAGGGCAGAATTTAAAACCACTGGTGTGTCAGACTTTATAGCTCCAAGCAAGAGGACTGTTCTTGTAAAATCTCTGTAGCTTTAGCTGAAGGACCAGGTTTATCAAGTCCAGCTTGGAATATCAGATCACAGTTGAAACTATTATATCAATAAATGCTTTTCTCACTCTGTTTCCTGGTTCTGCAAAATCTGATTCTTGCCATGAAAACTTGACCCTGTTCCCATAACACAACTACTAGTTCAGGGCCAATATTCTCCAGGTCATGCTGAACTCTGCAAGAGCTCACAACCTGACTTCAGCAGGACAGATAGCTATTAGGTAGAATGATCTGATTACAGCAATCTGATTAGGCTACTAGCCTGAAAATGAAATTAATCCTACTAAGTAGGAATATTTGGAAATGGTAAGTTCTACTTCACTCAAGAAATGTCAAATTTATTTACAGCAATAATTCTAACTTTCTGGCTTTATTTAAAATAATGTTTTTAAGGTAAACTTATTTCAGCATGCTTACCTCATAGATCACAGTCACAGACCCATATGTTCCCTTCTCTCTAACTAAAGTAAAAGGCACAGATTCATTCTCACCTCTGGGCTCAGTCAGTGTGATTAAGGCAGGCTAAAATTCAGAGATGGGATTGAAGATGGTGGGGGGGGGGACGAGAGAAAAGAGAAAAATAATAAACCATCAGGCATCAATGAAATATTCAGGGAATCGATTATACAAAAGGCTATTTTATAGAAGTACATCTTCCCAATGATAAATTAATCCAATTTCTGAATTGGTCCACTAATGAGATGTCATTTTTCAGCAACCAATTAATTCTAATAATCAAATATATCAAAGATAACAGATATAAATATTGTTAATGATTGAATTGGCTTTTTCACCCACTAAAACATGCTCTCTACAAACAATTTGTACTGTATTATTTATACAACTTATTGCTTTATTAAATATATTTTATGCTAAATCATCCTCTTAAACTCTTTAAGAGTGGAAAGCTTTGCCAGGAGTTTTACTAAAGATTATTAAAAACATTTTAAAAAATTAAGGTACACAGTGGCAGTTAGAATAGACATATTGTCACATTTTCCAAGATCTGCCATCTAAATATTATTTATCAGAAACAAATTTGTATAAACTGTCAGTTTTAAATCTTTCCATTTGTAGTATGATCCATCTCCAGACAATGGACCATCATTAATTTTTTGTGCAAGCCCTTCTAATTATTCCTCCAGCTGCTGCTGCTGTTTTTCAGATTGTTTTATTCATCTTTATAACTGCTGAAAATTTCCAAACTGATACGAAAGAACTTTTGAGATCACAAAGATATGAGGTAAGAAAGAATTATTCATAGTTATTCCAGTAATTGGATGCTACATTTTGTCATTTCTTTGTCAAATGAACTCATTAAGGTATAAATCACTTACGGATAAATGCTTTATTTTCTGCATTATCTTCTGTTTCTTTCTTTTTTGCTTAAATTCAATGAACAGCTATTTTCAACTTATTTAACTTAGGCCCTGTGGTGTCTTGCCAATCATCACATTCACAGATGCCACCGTTTCATTTCGGATATAACAATATAGGTAGCAATATATGTGATCATAAAGAACCCACAAAGATTTATGGTTGCTTTGGAGCAAATTGAAAACATTCAGTCTTAAATTCCAAAACCAACAACTGCTAATTTAAACAGTGAAAGAATGCATTTATACAAAGCCCTTCAAATAACAACATTCTGCTGCTGACTGAGTAGTCTTGACATTTATGGCTAACTTGGGAGTTAAGCTTTGAGCACAAACTATCAGCCACAATACTCTGAATGCCCATTATGATGTCCATTTTCATAATAATTTTTAAGAGAGTTCTCTCTTTCTGACATGAAACTATCAGGAATTTCTGGCAGGGGTACTAGGGGTGGGTCTTTTTGGTGACAGCTACCAGCTCTGGAATGCTGTATTGATGGAGCTGCTTACAGTTAATTTTTTAAATTCAAATGGATGTTTGCCTTTTATACTGTTTTGTTGCTGAATTAGGTTTAAATCTGTGGATGCCGTTATTTATTTCTTACTGTTGTGATTTTACTTGATGGGTTTGCAGTATTTCTCACATTCTATTTATAGCTTCCTTAAGTGTTATCTTTGATTTGAAAGGGTATACATTGAAATAATAAGCAAACACATTTTCTGTGTGATTTTCCTATCGTTCTAATTTAAATAAATGGATACAGAAAATGAAAACATACCATATCAAAAGAAATAATTCCAAAGGCATTGTCATTTGATAAAATTGTTACAGTTACAGCTCTGGGCAATCCAAGCTTTACTCCTTGAAGCGGCTTCTAAAACAAACATGGCAGACAATACAGAACATTTGATGGGTACATGATAAGTGAAACCATCTGTATAATAGGAGAAATCATTCTCCTAGTCACTAATGTCTGTACTTACAGGGCAAACAAATGTTTGTGACACATTCCAAGGAAAGGTATTCAAATCAACTGAATGCTGCAAAAGCACTTTTCATGGAACTCAAATTCTATAGACTCAGTCTGGTTAAACAACAAAGTATTTGACACAAACTTTGACTATCATTCATCATAGCTAATGATACCATAGCAATAAGGCGCTAGATGAGAAATATGCATCCCTCTCCTCCCTCAAGAATCCGAAGATCTTTTGTGTGAAATACTACTGAATAAATCGTTTTGCAGTTATGATAAAAAATAAACAGAGCAACCATACAGATTACATTAAAAGCAATTACGTATTTCACAGATGTCTTTTACTTTAGTTAAAGGAAAAAAGTGAAGGAATATTAGGTAATAATGAAGATTACTTCATTAAGTAATTACTTCATACCAATTAGCTACCTACATGCAGTGACCTGAATTCCCTTATACTGGAGGTCAGAATAACAAAAAGAGTAGAAATGAATATGACAGTTAATAAGGAACAAACTTTCTCATTCTATTTTTGAATGAGTTTTCTGAATTGAGAACCAAATGCTTCTATTTCCATGTTTGAAACAACTAGCGGTCATATATATCATACAATATATATACCTTATATAATATTTTAGATAATATCAAAACTATTAATGCCTATAATTTAATTTCTTATAAACACATGTTATTTGTCATCTCAGGCAAATAAATCTATATTAGCTTTTGATAGATATGCAAGGAAAGTAAGAGATGCTTGCTAAGTGATCAGGGTTCAATTTTCTTTTCCTACCTGATTCAGACACTGAATGAAATCATTGGTATAAAATTTTATAGGTCAAAATGTTTTAATGTTTTCTGTTTTAAAAACAAAACAACGTAAAATGAGGAACCGGTACCAAAAATTATTTCAAGGTCAAGTTATAGAGGGATTTGATTGGAAGGTGGTAAGTAAGTATTAAATTACGTAAATTAATAAGGCTGTATAATGCTTTGGATCCTATTCTAGAATTCATAGTGTGCAGGGATGTGAATTTATCACCCATCTGCATCTCTTCAAAGAAGCCACACTTTTTTCTAGCTTTTAGGGGCTTTACCGTTCTGAGGTGACAGGAGATGTTTCTTAATGTTTGTGTTACACTTTTCTCCATCACTTTGAAAACTCCCTGGCTGCCTATGTTTTCTTTTCTTCAAAAAGACTTCTGAGAAGTTCCCTAATTATTAAATTGATGATAAGAAGCCAGTAAGGCTGCAGATTGCTGGAGAAACCATTGTAACAATGAAGGATTGGGTGGACTTTCTTTGTAACTAAGGAAGGTACAAGACCCTTATACCAGTATGAATTTCACTAAAATTACTTCTCAAGAACACTGAGGGGTTCTACCCTCAGACTGAATGAGAATGGTTGAAATAATAAAGAAGTAATATTCAGTTAATATACTATAGCAGCAAGGAAAAGCAGCACTAGAAAAAAGCTATTATCTCTTAATTCAAGCTATATGTATGTAATAGCTGATACAGAAAAAATAATGCCCACCTGTAACGTCAAATAAAATATAAATGTTTCATCAGCCTCTGGAAAATCATCATCACACACAGAAAAGAAAACAGTTCGATTTGTTTCTGCCTGGGATATGTATGCTGCTGCGTATGTGTCAAAAAAGTCACCTGTATTTTCACCATGGATCTGTAATACATACACACATAGATACATGCAATCCAGAAATTAAAAACAAATACACTGCATTTCTGCTCACATTCACCTTATGAAAGTATTAAAACAAACCTCTATGGTTGAAAAGGCACATTTCCTTTGGATTATATATATTTGTGCTAATCATTCTAGCAAGGTATTAATGTTGGTCTTCTCATTTTATCAAGAAAAAAGTCAATCTGCTTGCCCCTGACACAAAAACCCCACTTCAGAAAGCAAACCATGTAAATGTTTGCTATAAAAAGAAATGTGATTAGAAATGTTTCTTACCGATATAATTGCTGTGACATTTATTGGGTCTCCTATTCTTTCAATAACGAGACGTATAACTGTTGTAGTTGTTTCATTCACTACAAATTCTGTTTGTCCTGTAAACTTTACTTCTGCTTCTCCAGAAATCAAACTGATAATTAGTGATAAAAGAAGTATAACTAGTAAATAGACAGAGGGCATCCCTGAAAAGAAAGAAGAGAACATTGAAATGGGGACATGAAAAGCAAATTTTAAACTTGAAATTTATATTCTCCCAGAAGAGTTACATCTTTTTCTAGAGGGTGGGCTGGTCAAATACATACTGGAAAAAGTAGAAAATCAAATCTGCAAAATGTGTAGTAATTTTAATTTTAAGTGCTCACAACTTCTGACAGAAATACTTTCAATACTCTGAAATAGTAGTTAAGGCACCAGGCTAGAAAGCAGGAGACTGTGAGTTTTTGTCCTGCCTTAGGCATGAAAGTTGGCTGGGTGACTTTGGGCCAGTCACTCTATCTCAGCCCAACTCACCTCACAGGGTTGTTGGTGTGGGGAAAATAGGAAGAGGAAGGAGTATTAGGTATGTTTGCTGCCTTGAGTTATTTATTAATATATATATATTTATATAAGAAAAGCAGGATAAAAAGAATCAAATAAATTAATAAATAAAAATAATTGATTCAGAAGGGGGGCTGTGTTTGTGTGTGTGAGAAAGAAACAGAGACAGAGAGAAAATGTTTAAATAAATTTACTGGATGTATTAATTACCATAGTAATTCTAAGGATAATCTAGATATATTACACAGGTGTTTTGGACATCTATTATGCTAAGGATTTTACTTACATTTTAGATCCCTTTGTGTATTAAAATATTACCTCACCCAAAATTATTTAATGTTATTACATAGTTTAGCTAGACATAGAAAAAGCTTTTGAAATGTTTAGTGGAAATTTTTGAAATAAGTTTTGTTGAATATCGATTTCCTCTAGTATTTATTAGTTGGATCAACATGTCCAGGAATGCATCCAATATATGCAGGAATGCATCCAACTGCTGGAATTATCACAAATGGAATTACTTTCTCATTCATTAAATTGTCTTGTGGAACTCATCATGCATCATGCATGTCCCTGAAGATCTCTCCCTTATTTTTAATCTGGAATTGTAACCATTGCCTTACCTTATTAGACAAACAGGCTACTGTAGGTATAACACTGAGTGGGACTGAGCATAAACTTTTGCTCTGCTGATGGCATATTATATGTCATTGATTATGCATTTCTATAGTGAAATCTACTGTGCAGTAGTTGAGTAATTTTTGGGTTATTTGATTAACTGGACTAAGTCGCATATATTTCCATAGGATCTAAAGTTTCTATAACTTCATTATGTTGGAAGTATAAAATGGATGATGGGCTTGTTCTATTGTATATTTAAAATATTTGAAGAGACAAGCATGACTGTTCTTACATTATATACAATCACAGCAGTGGGGGGAAAAAGCAAAGTAAATTGGCTGTTCTTGCACATCCATGCAGAAACAGCCAGGAGCAGCTTATCAAGCAGCAGTTTCAACCAGGGAAAAGTTGCAACTCCTTTTATTACTCAAAGAGAAGTGCTTTATACATGTACCTTTTTTGAAGGATTGGCACAGTCATGGAAATCACATGTTTGGATAATAATTAAATCTTTTTATGTGAGTTTACAGTTTGTAGCTTTGTAGCACTCAGAAACACAACAGCACATCAACATAAAAAGTTCTCATTTCTGACTTCCCAGGAAGATAGCCTAAATTAATACTATTATTAATTGCTACCTTAACAATTTGAAATTGCAGTAATTTGAGGAAGGAATGAGGCAAGACAGGAAGAATAAAAGATAAAAAAGAGTTAAAATGATTATTTTTTGTTGAAATTAAATGCCTCTTATTTATAATTTCCCAAATTATTCATTTTTTTTCCTGGAGTTAAGATCTTGCCTCTTGAACATAAACTGTGCTGTCTTTGTAAAGTATGAGAAAAATCAAACTGATTTGCAATGTAGTCATTATTCTTAAGGAATTAAGGTGGCTGAACTTTTAACTTCAGTCGTTACCTTGATATAGATGAAGCAAGTATCTTCCCATACTAAAAATCTTGCTAAAATAAACCTGAAAACATGATCCTTGTAGAGCAAGGTAACCACGTTTAGAGTTACTTGAATTCTATTACCTTACTCAGGGTCATTCTAAAACTATAAAGTTACTGCTGTGCAACAAGAGAAGCCTATTAACCATAACATCAATTATTCAGTTAACAAGAATTCTTCCTTATTACATTTTATACGTACGCATTTGTATAATAATAAATGAAATGAAATGTGTGTGTGTGGGTGGGTGTAAATAAAAATTATTCTAGTTACAGATGGTAACTTAAAAATGAAATCTCAACAACTAGCAAAATGCCTTGAAAATAGTTTCAAACATCAATTACCTTTGTTACTTCATATATACAATTGTCATTTTGAAAATTGTTTTTAATGGATGTTTTGCCTTTACATGAATTGAGAATAGTCACTAAAATGTAAAATATTGGCTTACGATAATTATTATTTGGAAGGATATAAAATGGTACTTTTAAGTTTGTAGTTGAGTCCTACAGTGACACTTAATTTAGTTGTTCGGTATAAAATGTGTTTCTTAGAATAATTTATGTCTGCTTTGTTTTTTCCAGACTGTTTTGAAATAATAATGCTTTGAATAAGAGTTGTTAAGAGGAGAATACTGCTGGGTTCATAAGATTCAGAATTCTTTGTACTCTGCAATAATATGATTGATGGTAGAAAAAGTTCACTAAGATAAATGAATAAAGCCATATTATTAGTTGTTGATCTGAGCTGGTACATGCTCATCCCATATACTTCAGAGATATATAATATGCACTGGGAATCCCACATCTATCACTCCACTAATCCCATATATCTCAGCAGTCTTCATCAACTAAGTCCCCTCAATTGTTTGGAATAATTGCCATTATACCTATCTATCATGGCTGCTGTGTTGATGGGAAAAATGGAAGCTACATTTGAAAACATCTGGAGGTTAGGAAAGCTCCTATAAAGTACTAGGAAATCAACTAACTCAGGGCAAGGTAGAAAATAAAAATTAGCTCTGATTCTTTATAGCTGGGAAAAATAGAGCAGAAAATTGATTTAGCAATGTATTCAGTGGAATCTCTGACTATACCCGTTAACTTTCTTTTATATTTTTTTAAATATATGGCTATGGACCAAGAAAAAAATAAGCTGGTACTGGAATGCATTATTACAATGGTAACAAAGTCAGTCCACTGCTCAGAGACATTAGTCAGCTTTTGGGATGGATAAAGTGAGAAGAAAACAATTTTCTTTATCTCTTTAAGGTGGTTTTCCACCAGGTTAAAGAACTCCCTGAACAAACTGTCTTCTATCTGACTTTGCTGCCAACTTGTCCAGGCAGAATGAAAGTGAATTCTGACAGTGACCCAGCTTTGCTTGGGTTACCTACATTTACCCAAGGAGCAGCAGCAAATGAGTAGGAGAGAAGCCTGTGACCATATGGAGAAGAACTGGAAGGAAAATAGTCATTGTAAAAGAGCAAGAGAGAGAACACGGGATGTTTTTAGGTTGCCACTCTGGCCACTGTTCATAATTCGATTTAAGAAGTCCTTTCCCTCACTCCGTCCACTATTATAAAAAGGCATTGGCCTGGGGAAGCAGGGGGAGGTGGGTTTCTCCCAGGCTTCTTCCATCTTGGCTGTCTACCCTGGTCATGCACAAACATCAACTGACACTTCATTTCACTATTTGAGCTCATAGTTGTTCTACTCCCGCTAATGTGAATGATTGCCTTCAAGTCAGTCTTGATTCTTGGAACTACATGGACAACTCCATGCAGTTTTCTTGGCAACATTTCCAGAAGTGGAGTTATTGGTCCCAAGTTAGCATTCTTGCCTAAGGCAGGACTAGAACTTACTGTCTCCCAGCTTCTAGTCTCATTCCTCTAACTCCTACACCAAACTGAATCTCATGTAGAAAATTACTATGCTATTTAAAAATAAAAGGAGCAGAGGAGTCACTGTGGTTTATAGCTCCAGTTAGTCATTTTTTTTTTTCTTTCACTGGAAAGGAGAGGATGTCAACCCCCCCCCCCCCCCCCC